CGTTCTAACAGAGAGGCTTTATGAATCCACCAGCCAAGCGGCTCGGCCGGGGCTGCCAAGGAAACCCAGGAGGAGGAGGGAAGCATTACAAGATCCGAGCAGAATTTCACCAAGAGCCTATCTAGGACAAAGCTGGAGGCAGAGAATGTTTTAAAAGGCTTTTATTTCAGAAAGTTTTCGCTGTTGTTGTTTTTACAGGATTTTGCTGTACCCCTCTTCTCTCACCCCCCTGGCTTCCCTCATCTTCCCATTTCTAGCTTTTTTTAGCAGTGATTGGCAGCTTTTACTACGGCAGGAGCTAAGCCACCTGGGTCTACCTGCACTATTGAGGGGAATAACAGCTCCCAGGGAAGGAACCCATCCAATCTGAGCAAACAGCTGGGGGGGATGAGAACAGACAAGCCCAGCCTAAGGCACAGAAGCAGCGTAGAGGCAGGGCAGGCAGCAGCGCTGAAGACAAACCTGCCTTTTCCCATCGGGTTTCAGTCCGTTTCAAGCTGCACACCACACAGGTTCCTTGTTTTTTCAGCCAGCTCCTACCATCACCTGGAATCCCCTTCCACTGCCCTGGCCCAGCAAAGCTAACAGCCAGGAACTGGGGACAGAGAAGAGCCTTTGGCCCGTCCGTGTCATTTACAAACGGCATGAGCTGGACTCAAGTCGCTGTGGCTGGATTTGGAAAAGGCTGAATATCAGTTTGTCACCAGCAGTGGGTGGAAGGTGGGGTTCCTCAGATGCAGCAGCATCGTAGTCCGTGGGTGCTTTTAGTTACGCAGGTTGTGGAGGGGTGAACGTGAGAGAGGAGAAGTCAGCTGAGGGAATTACTCTTCGGCACTCTCTGCATCAGACAGCGGAATTCCTCCGTCAGGCGCAGGGCGGGAGAAGCTCCTTGTACGCAGCACCCGGGATGCTGGGCCAGGCTGCCCAAGCAGGGGCTGCTGCACTGGCTGCTCCCTCCTCCCACCTCCTCCTCACACCTCCTGGAGACGGAGGGCTCTCGGAGCAGTGTGTGGTGCAGATCAGCTCCAGGATGCACCGACTGAGCACCAGCGAGCGGGAGCTGCCGCCGGGGACTGTCATGTGCTGCCGGAGCCAAGCCCAAATGCAGGTGAGCAGGGCGGGGGGGCAGGAACAACCATCCTGGGTCAGACACTCCTGGAAGCTCACGCAGCACGTTTCAGACCTGTGGCACCAGTGCTATGATCTGACCCGGTCCCTCCGCTCTCGCCGTGGCCTCTGGGCTGGCAGGGGCCAGTCCATCCATCCGAGGAAACTTCTGGAAAGCCAACAGCATCCGTGCCCTAGCAGAGCCAAGCACACCCACTTCTGCAGCGCTCACAGGACTTCCTCAGGGCACATAGTAAGAAGCCTCTCCCACTGGTGGAAAGGGTTAAAAGCCTGACTTTCCCAGGTCTTGGCACTTCAACTGTGCATCTCCAGCCCCAGCCCTTCCCCGGCCAGGCTGCAGCTCCCACCTGCACAGAACGCAGCACAGCCCGATCAATGCTGTCCATCACGGTGACAGAAAGATCATTTGCTGCCCTGATCACTCCGTGCTGTCTCAGGCTGGGTGAGGGTTTGTTTCCCCTCCAACCAAATCATTACAAATTGACGTTGTTTGTGGGCCAGCACTTCCCCCTCTGCCTCAGTTCCAGTACGAAAACAGCATGAGGGATCAGAAAAACAGAACTTTTCAAAAAGCCTATTTCTCTCCTGCGTCCCAAAAATAAATACCACAAGTGGAAGTCACTACAGAGGGCTCTGAAGCTGTCATGTTTGCTACCTCATAGAAAAGCTAGGCAAGCCACTTTTTGTTTCCTTGCACTTCATGCCTCACCCTTCCCGTGGCTGGGGCACAGACTAAGTATTGTGTTAAAAGAATCCTGGTTCCCAGCACCAAGGCAGAGGCATCCCAGCCTTGCCCCAAAACAGGCACAACTCCCCCAGAACACCTCACTGTCTGCAAAGACACATCATCCTACTCAGGGTTCAGCACCTCTTTTCCTCCCATCACGGAAAAATAAAGTCCCACATTCTGCAGGTGCTCTCTGCTCATTAGGGTACCTGAAAGTGCAGTCAGGAGAGGTGAAATGAGGACCAAAAGATGGATGTTGTTGTGGTGGACAGTAGGCCGCAGGCTGCAGGGCTTTATTTGGATGTGTAGTAACAAGAGAACACGGTGGAAAGATGCAGAGGTCAGGCACAGGCAGTTCAAGAGAGGTTTGGGTGGGTTAAGGTTTTTGTTTGGGGTTTTTGCGCAGGGACTTGGATTTACATCCTCTTGTCTTTTCAGGAGTTCACCCGCCGTGCAATGTTGAGATGAAAACCACATTATCCTGGTCCTGGAGTTTATAATCCAGCTCACCCTGCAGGCCAAGGGAAAAAAAAAATGGTTTAAATGTCATTTCCAAATACAAGCTGCAAAGAGAAAACAGCTCATAAAAAGATGGTGAGTGTTAGGGAGAGCAGAAGGGGACAGACTGATGTTTTCATCACAAGAGAAGTGAAGGTGAGGGATCAGCCACGGTGCTGATGCTCATCAGCCCACAGCGCCTTCTGGACCAGGGTTTTGACAGAACAGGTGGTTGCCTGAGGCAGGAAAATAGTGAGGGGCTGTTTGTTGTCTGAGCACAACAGTGGGCTGAGAAGGGAAGACATTTACCAGGTGCCTGTTTGGGTAGAAATCTCCCCGTGGCCTTCACCTGCCAGGTACCCCCTGACTCCAGGGAAGGCAGTTCTGCCTGGGGCCTGGAGCTGCCAGTACCCACCACAGTCACCCTACACATGGGGGGACCCACCAGCAGTCAGAGGTGCAGAGCCCAGTGCCAGAGGCCAGGGAAAAAAAGGGTAATCTCTCTTCAGACCTTGGCTGGCTGATGAGACTCAGCAGGTTAGAGAGAGGCTCCAGGCTCCTGAACAGACACAGCACAGGAGAGAGATCCCAGCCTGCCCCTTCCCCCTCAAATACAAGATGTTTTACTTGGGGCAAGAATCAGAAACAGCTTCTCTGAGAGCAACCAAAGAACAGAGAGAGCAACAAAGAAAGTCAAATTTAAGGAGTACAGACCATTAGTTCCCAGTCTGCGTCGTTGATGAGCACCAAAATTCCTGGCCTCCTGCAGAACAGAGAGAAATAATTAGGATACAGGTCTGCTAAAAAGCTCCACAAACAGTTAAGAACAAGGGATGTCACAGCACAGATCACAAGCTGACTGCTTATAAAGCCAAAAAGGAATCCTAGCATGGAGGTGGAGCAGGTACAGTCTGTGCCCTTTCTACATCAAATAAAGGGGAGGCAGGAGCACTCCCAAAGCTCATTTGAATCGAAACGCACCATTCCCGAGGATGCTCCAGGATGATACATTTCCGTACGATGCAGAAGAGCCAGGTAATTAAAACCCACGCACGACAGTCGAGCGCAGAGAGCTCGATGTGAAGGTAGGGAAAGCTATTCCGGTGCCCCTACCACAGGCACTAAACACCTGGGATCCACTCCAAGCCCCTGATTCCGAGCAAAGGGATTCCCCTTCTTTGATCTTCGGTGTCCTGCAATTGTCTCTCCTGTTACCAGGGGACCTGGCACACGCTCCAGCTCACAAAGATCCGTGACGAATGTTAAACACCCCCAGCGCCACCCCGCAGTCAGGGATGGCTTGCACAGCTCACTCTGCTCCATTTCTCTTGCCTTCTTTTTCTTTTTTTTTTTTTCCTCCTCGCCCCCCCTCATCCTCCACGAGGCTGGCCCCATTTTGACAATAAAAATACATTTCCCAGAAGAATTATTTGTTGGCATTTCTCGGAGCGACTGCTTCAGTCCCAGTGATGTCAGCAGGGAACGGACAGACCTGCTAAAACTCCTGGAATTGAGGGTACAGGCACTATGCTGCTCCAGCTGACATCAGAGACAAGGTCTACGTGGCCCTGCTTCATGTTTAAGGTTTAAAGATTTAGGGTGAGAGCTGCAAAAGATGATCTCTGTGGACAGTGTGAGGTGTAGGTGGGACACCTCCCATTATCACTTTAGCAAATCCCATGTTTTCATGGTGATTGACTTACTTCTTGCAACCAACAGGGAAAAAATATCCTAAACCACGGGGATCAACAGAAAAATACAAGGAGGATTCGTAACAGTTGTACTTACACAGATTCCCCTTGCATAAATAATTCTGGTCGTTCTTTCAACATATTCTGTTTGATCCACTTGAGCAGGTTTCTGATATCCCCTGGAAGGAGAAAGGACAGGGTTTACAAACTGCCTGATGGCTCCTGGTGATGCAGAGCAAAGTGATTGTTTATCCAGAAAGAGCAGATGAGGAACATGCAGGATGGGTGGGGATAGCTGCAAAGAAACCACCTAACAGGATAGTCCCCCAGCAGCCTCCCACAGGCAGTCCTGTCCCAGGGGAGCCCAGGGCTCTGCCCCAAACCCCACAGTCTGGTACAAGAGGTTTCCTCAAGAAAACTCATCCCTCAAAGAATGGATTCAGCACCAATCCAGCAGCAGACCCCCAATGTTCAGACCTCTTTAACACATCCCATATCCTGTGTGTTCTGTTATCGCCCAACAAATTATGTCTAATTGTCTGTGTGCTTAATTAGATTTAAAAAGTCCAAACAAGCAACCCTAAGAACCTGAAAAGAGCAAAGACAGACACTATCAGCACCAAAACCAGCACGAACTCTTGGAGGCATGAGCTCTGGGGCCCAAACTCGTCCATGACTACACACTAAACACACGTGCAGCCACTGGCCAGTCATATTTTGGACACTTGCAGCATCCCTCAGCATCACACCTGCTGCCATGGAGTGTTCCCCACGCTGTGCCTGCTACCTCCTTCTACACTTGGTGCTTAGAGCTTCTTTATTAAAGCTCAGCCTTTATCTTTCCATTTCAGTAGGTGACAGGAAGAATTTGTCTTCATGTAAAAGGAGGAGGAGACACTGCTGGTGGGTTTTTATAGTATCAATTTTACTTTGTGAGGGAAAAACAATTTCTTTAGTGATAGCATCAGTTAATTTCCTATTGGAGAGGTGAGAAGAGACAGAAGGGAGGGGGGAATAATCTGTTACAGGGTTTAGAGAAGCTGACAAATTGCAATGTGGAGTTCTCCTGCATTTGCCTCTATATTTCACCGTTCCACAAACCACTTCATCATTCCGAATCCACAATCAGTTATTCTCCCGGGGCTCCTTTAAACAGCCTTTTGAAAGCCCCAAAAGAGTTTTGTTTGTTTTTGAGATGCAAGGAAGCTTTTTGAAGACACAAATCCACCAGTGAGGGCTGGAGCCCTGCTCCAAGACAAGCAGGGATGGCAGGATGGGTTTCCAGGTCTGTCTCACGTGCAGTAAGCTCGCCATAGTCACAAGAAACCTTTCCACATGTGTTTCTCTGAGCTAAACTCACTCTGTGTACCATTCCCTGTGTGTTTGCTTCATGACCAGTGAAAATAAATGTGTGTGTAGTGGCTTGACTCAGCCCAGGCCTTACTCCAGGATTTTATGGGATCATGGATGTTACCCAGAGCAGAGCTGGGGTTCTTCCAAGTAACATCACCCCCTTTGCTTCTGCCACACCAAGGATTAACAGCCCTGGTGTAGGCAAGTGCACATCAACTAGGCAATGGGGATATGTCCATCTGCAGCAGATGGGGGCCTTTTTCCTGGGGAGAGAGGGATGGGGATGCTCTGAGATTCCCTGTGTTACCCCCCCTTTCCCAGGGTATCGGTGCCTCCAGTCTGTCCCCAGCACCCCAGTCCCACCACAGGGCTGCCTGGAGCACAACAGGTATTGCTGCCTCCGAGCACTGGATCGCCCTGATCAGGGCAAAAAGAGCTGCTTTGTGCCTTAAAACTGCCTGGTGAGCTGGATCACCTGCCTGGGGCCAACCCACGACTCCCCTGTAATGGTATGTAGCTAAGAGCACAAAATAGACCATTTTCTGCCTCTTTTCTTAGCAATGTGCACCGGGGACAGTGAGAGCCGCTCAGAAGGTGTGTGTATATACATATATATATATATATACATATATATATATATATACACATAGATGCACATATATTTTATATATATATACACACACCCACCACAGTGGTCCATCAGCCACCAAAACAAGAGTTAACCATATCTGCCTTCCCCTGAAAAATGCTGCTGCAACGTCAAGCCCTCAGGATCCCACACCCAAAAGGCTCCCGCTCTCCATCACCAAGAAATGAAAGCAGGAGAGGAAGGAAGATGGAGAGGAGCCTTCAGGAGGAGGAGGGGGGTGTGAAGGGGACACCAGCCCCACCGCAGCATCGCCCGCGAGCTGTTTCATATTTATGCACTTGCAGCAGGGCACACAACAATGAGCTGTGCCATATACCATTCTCCTTGCGTGGAATAAGCAGCCCTTTCCTCTGGGACCTTTCAGGAGAGATCATTTAAACAGAAACACGCTGCACCAGCTGGATAAAAGACAGCCACCTAGAAGCAGCCTGGACGGAGGGGCGAGAGGACTGATTTATTCGAGGCTGAGCTGGAAGACTCCCTCACCCCATCTCCTTCCATAATAAATGTTATTTTCAGCCCCACCTGAGCCTACATTCATTTACTCCTACCCAGAGGTCACGTACACACATACTGAAAAATTTAGACAGCAGGAAAAAAAAAAACCCTGATACCCCTGTACATGCCTTCCCCCCTCCAAAAGGCACAAAAATTGAGACCCTTTCTCCACAGCCAACCTTAAGACATAATACTTTCATCTGCTTTATCAGCACTGAATTTTTTCACCCACCTTCATGTCTCTACGTTCTGTACACCAATATTACTAGAGCGAATCAATTATAAGGGATGACAAATGACCACAGCCACACCAAAACCATCTCCCACAAGTAAGATATTGAAAAGGAACAAGATTACTTGCATTGCAAGGGGTCTGGGGAGAAGCCATCTTGCAGCTCAGCGCCTCGAACAGCAGTGCTGATCAACAGCTCAGGCCTCTCTATATTCTCATGATGGAAATAGTAGAGGTAAGTTACAGCACAACTGCTTATCTCTTACAGTTGACATACATAGGATATTTTCTTTCTGATAGTATGCTACAGGTCTAACAGGTTCCCAGCTCCCTGGGCCAAGGATTTGCTGTGCAAACAGCAGGTCCTCTACAGATGACATAGAAGGAAGGAAAAAATCTCAGCCTGGTCAGGCATCACACTCACTGACAAGTTAAACCATCATCACAATGCATTGATTTCACACTTGTGTTGGTTTGAAGCTGGTCCCCATCACAGAACAGAGGTGTTTGCTATTGGCAGGAGCACAGTTGTACTACAGGTGCTGCCATTTGGCTGCAAAACCCACTGTGCATTTTGGCTCAGCAGGGAGGTTCAGGTGAGAGCTGAGACAGTACAGCATTTTGCTCCAGTATCACCAACTCAAGCCCAGCTCATCCCAGTAAGGACATATTTTTATCTGCTGCATGGTCTTAATGAAATCCTTTTGGCAGCCCACTTGATTTCACTCACAGCAAACAAATATCAACACCAAAAAACGCTCTCTAATTCTCATTAACTGTCCTCAGCATGACCAGAGGAGCAAGACTGAACTGGCCCAGGATGCTGAAATATTCTCAAACTGCAAAGGAACGACTGAAGCACATGGTAGGAAATCCCTGTCTTATTTGTATACACAGACAGCTTCTGTTGCCTGTGCTAACAGTACATCAACTCCCCCCCTCCAAATTCTCAGGAAAAAATAATCTAAAGTTAATTAAAAAAAAAAAAAAAGAAAAAACGACAAACGTTTGGGAAAACTGCTTAGTTCAAGTGCACAGATGGGAGCTCAAGCCCACAATATATGCAGAAAACAAATCACCCAGCGAAACACAGCGCTCAGGAAAACGAGGTGACACAAAGTCATTGCCTTGTCACACAGGCAGACGGGATGCAGGAACTGCAGCGAGCACATACAGAACCCAACAGCCTCGGCTCCTTTTCAGCCCAGCTGCACCACAAACACTCCTGGATGTGGCAGACAGAACTGCACAGTCTGCTCTGCCCTCCTGAGAATCCTCCAAGGCCTGATCTTCTGCATTACCCCAACTGTTCCTTCATGAAGAATCTGCTTGAGCTTCCTATGGCACAGGAAAGCATCTAAGACTCCATTTTAGCACTGCCTGGAACAAGAGCCAGGGTTCATTTGCACCCTCAAAGCCAGGGCTGAAATCCATAGATCTTTCCCAGCTCAATAAAACCTCCTGGGCCTGACAGATTCATCAGTGATAACTCAGCAAGGAGGGCACTTGCAGAGGGAAACCAGGTGCCTTGAATAAGAAACACGAAGCTGGGTGTTGCACTAGAAGGATCTCACACTGAACTGGTAAATGTGCAGACTCAAGGAAGGATTTTGTGCAACTGTGATACCAGTTGACACAGACACACAGCTCTTGGCTCCTTGGGAGCTGCACAGGTCACTGGCAGATTCACACACACACACACAACAACCAAACACTTTAAAATCCACATTCAAACCCACACAGCGCACGCAGTGCCTCGAAGGGCATCCAGAAGGAGTAATTACACCCATATTCTTGTCTTGGTTGAAGAACCAGGATTATTTCAGGGAAATAGGGGAACCCTATAAAGGCTGAACCATGGAAAATTCCCTTCTGGTCTGCAATAAATAAGATATATGCAGCACTGGTCACTAAGGGGTCAGTGCTGCCAGAGCACAGCGCTTTCCCGGCCGCCTTGCGGATCCCTCCCTGTGGGGTACCATTTCTTTGACCCAGAATAAGATCATTTATCATACTGACCATGGCTGAGCTCCAATTTGCTGAGGTCACTAACTCTGGACGAGCACTGCTCCACCCACATTCTCAGCCACCGGCCTGTAACCATGACAAAGCCCCTTCCCTGCCGCTCCTCTGCCATTATTCCCCCTGCCTGCATGGAAATGTATGGAAAGACAATTTGTATGCCCCTTTCCCTGCTTAAGCAGCCTGTTTTTAAAACAGACAAACCAGCTCCCAATACCTGCTGTCCCTCTAGGTGCACGACTTCTCTTTTGGATCTTAGGACCCTCCAGGAATCTGCTCCCTAAAAGAGCTCAAAACCTGATCTAATGGATCCTTCTGACTCCTGCAGTCTCCCATCTGATATGCAAATCATTCTATGAAGCAGACCATGGTGTGCCATAAACTGCAGAAGAAGACCTGGAATAGCTGATGTGAATGGAGTCACA